TATTTTTTAGCAAAATTGTAATGTTCATGATAACTTTTTTTTAGTTAAAAGTAGTTTTTTACATTTTACTTAGGCAGCTAATCTATTTCTTCATAATATTTACTTTACTATATCTGCATTTACTTTAATTTTATAATAGATTTTTAAATTTTTTTGAATCTCTACTGTATTTATGTATTTACTAGATGCAAGTAAATATATAGCATTGTATTTGTCTTATTTTGTAAGCAGTCTTGGGTGTTCTTTTATCAGCAAATCCTCTACAAAACCTATTTTGTTAGCTTTTTTGTTTATTTAAACCACTAACAATTGTGATATATTTTCTTTATTTGACATATAACAAGAAAGAAAACCTTCTTGAATGAGAGCATGGATTCATGAATATTTCTCTACAATAATACAACTTATTTTTTTTTTGTAGGTGGGAAACAATAACAACAAAAGGTACATGCAAAATTTTAAAATATTTAATAATAATGTTTTTCTTATTTTGTAGGAAAAAATTAATATTTGTTATGCAATGATTTTTTTATATATAAATGAGCAAATGATTTGCATTACTATTTTTAGAATCAAGTAAATAAAAAAATTAGAATTAATATAAATATCACATGATTCAATGATTATCGATGATATCTATGCTTCTATTTTTTCAAATTAATCAATTTTTATACAAGTGTTATGCTTGTATCACAAAATATCACTATCTTTTTGTTATTAATACAACTATAGTAGGTTTATTTGAAAATACTATATGTCTAAGTTCTTATTCTTAGTACTGGGCTTAAAATATAAAACCTTTTCCTGTCTTGTAAAAAGTTTTCATTAAGTTTAATAAAGATAAGAGCATGGTCTCATGTTAAACATTAAAAAAAAAAAATAAAAAATAAAAAAATATGAATTTTTTACAATATAATTTTATTTTTAAAAAAAAATAAAAAATAAAAAAATATGAATTTTTTACAATATAATTTTTTTTTAAAAAAAAATAAAAAATAAAAAAATATGAATTTTTTACAATATAATTTTTTTTAAAAAAAAAAATAAAAAATAAAAAAATATGAATTTTTTACAATATAATTTTTTTTTTAAAAAAAAATAAAAAATAAAAAAATATGAATTTTTTACAATATAATTTTTTTTTAAAAAAAAAAATTAAAAGTGATAATATTATTTATACCTTTGTTAATGATAACTTAATCTTTTTTCAAGCTAATTAACAATGTGAGATTATTAATAATTTAAAAAGAAGATTAGAAATAGTTTGAATGTTTTTTTTTGTTCACAATTCCGACATAATTAGCATATGATATATATGGATTGTCCATATGGATCTTTAAGACCGGATCCAACAAAAAATCCATATTAGTATCCAAGCCCGGTTCATGTTGGGCCAGCCCATGAACAATCCATGGATAGTCCATCCCATGCGGAACCCTATTGATCAATCATATTATACTGCAGCTAAAAAATTGGCGACTATATATGCAATATAAATATATCGGCTTTATATGAAATCCACTGAGAAGTTCTTTAGAATCTTGTTAATAATTAAACAAAAAAAATCTAACTTATAGCTTTAAGGCATTATCTCAAATTACAAAGCTACCTTTTTTTTTTTCTAACAAAAAAAATATTGGTATAGTAACTTTATTTTTTATTAATACAAAACGATCATTTAAATATAGTAAATTTTAGCATTATTCTATTTGAAAATATTTCTTTCCTAAAGGTTTACAAACAGTCATATTCACTATATTTATGTCAACATTAATTAACGAAAATGGTATGGAATACAAATAGTAGCCTCTTTCCAATGACTGGGAGCATGACGAGGAATAGAAACAATTTTGAAGCATTTTTCGTTATGTAAAGGAGTAACATAAACATCATAAACTCTAGGTTTTTCCCATTCAGCTTTGGGGAAAACAGTAACCTTATAAACATAATGAAATCCTTTGCTAATTGGTAACATGATGACTTTAAATTTACGATATTTCGGTCTACCCAGATTGAAGAGATGATCAGAAGTTTCGACAAGATTCTCGAGATGAGGTTTGAATTCTTCAGCTGTAACAGTGTTCTCAGGGGCGTTATGTGCTTCGGCCGAGTCGGCAGAAAGGTAGGAAAGAACGTCGTCAGCTTGAGGACTTGGGGAGAGATCGTTTAATTCAGCATCTTTTAAGTCTGTGCTTTCGGTGTCAGAGAATGAATAGACACTAAGAACGAGGAAAGATAAAGCGATAATTAACAAAATGGAGCGCATAAGCTGTGCCATAATTGTTTTTTGTTCGGCTTGAGAATTCTTTCTTTTTTTGAGTTCTTTGAAGGAATGCAGTAAACAAAAGTTTTTTGTAGGCTGAATTTATACCTTTTTTTTGAAATAGATATCCACATACGCCGCGTATTAATGTGAAAGCAAAGTTTCATAGGTTATTTTTGATTGATCGATAATTTTATAGTATAAATAATTTGTATTTTGATTAATAGATGTGGTCGGTTAACTCAACATCACAGAAACATTCAAATAGTAATAGCTAATCGTCTTACACAGCGATTGATGTATGATAATATACTGTTAAACGTTTGAAAATTGTGTAGGGCTTTTATGAGTTTCTAAACGCCAATATGTGTGGAGCTTCATAAGCCAAAAACCATTAATGGTTTGTTGAAAATAAATTTATTATCTTATAATTCAAAATACGTCAGAAACGCAGAAAGTTGACAGATTACTGGATTACCGGTAACCGGTTTAAATTTATCTTGCTCGCTTGTTTAGATCAGTTAAAATCAATTATTAGTTTCAATATTGTATACTGTCATGAATGTGAGATCCAAAAGACGGGGCATGGAAATTCATATCATAATTACGTAAAATTTAGCTAAAGATTTGATTCTTTCATTTAACTTGATTTATTTACTTATTTTTTTAATACCATCGAAATGAATAAGTGTCAATTTTATAAAATAAAATTTAAAAATTCAAAGTTTCTTCCATAATTGTAGCACTCATGCTAATATAACATACTTTATTAAAAAAAAGATTTACTATAGTCGAGACTTTGATACATCAAACTCCCATGTACATACAAATACGGAGCTAGGTACATATAAAAATATACGCTATCGCTATCATGTAAATAAATACTTGTTTCAAATTATTCAATAATTTTTTTTATCTTCTATTGGGTAGTTTTTCTGGATATTTTCCCTACATTCTTTGATAGGTATCCTTAAGTTATAACAGCTTACATAATGTACAGGTTATCCATATAGCATCTTCCACATAAATATACCAAATGAGCAAAGACTTGCAAACATTATCGATATGTAAATCTTGATGAAAATGAATTGTTTGAAGTCAGCAACAATGCAAGGTATTTAAACTTCGTTAGTAAATTTTTACTGATATTACAGTAGATAGAAATAATCACAAAACAAAAAAAAAATTAAATTTACTTGCTTCAGCAAAGTAATTTTCGTTAACGACACCATAAGTTGATTCTGTTACAGTTGAAACAAAAATTTAAATTGATAAAATTATTAAAAGGTGAAGCCAGTGCAATTGAAGTTGAAGCTTCGGTATCTGGTCAAGTAAAAAAAATTTTTTTTTTTAGGTTTTTTAGGAGACAAAGCAAAGATTATAAAAAATAGAAAGAGTACTTAATTTTATAAATGTCGTCATTGAATGTGATGTTTGAGCGTTACCGTGATCATTCCTTAATTGATTGAAGATGCTTGAGAACACCCTAAGTCGAAATGACCTGATGTTAAGGCCATCTATTTTTTCATGAAGTTACTCTTGATTAGTTTAATTTAAAATCGCAAATTGACTTTTTTTTTTTTAAAAAAAAAAAAAATTAACATTCACATTATGATTCATCGATAAAAGATATTAATTTTTTTTAAAATACTAATCTGTTTGATTTCTATTGACGGCAGCTCATATAATAATAATATTAAAATTGAATACGTATAATATAAATATCGTATATAATTAATATATTTTTTTTAATAAGTTTTAGATGCAGTCTTTGATTACAATGATGTCAAAATCTCCAAAAGTATACTATATAAAATTTTCTTAATAAAATCTTATGGTCATGAAGACTTTATTTTTGATCACATTTCGTGATCTACCATTGCCAATTTTAGGGATCATCTAAAGCCAGGTATACGTATAGTAATTTATATGCGGACGTGAATTTTAATTTACAAATTTGTTAGTAATTAATTTAAAAGCTACCTGGCTTTAGACGACCTGCAGTTTTAGCAACTTTAAAAATTTTACCGCTACGTATTATGTAAAACAGCCCCTACGACCTTTATTAGAAATTTGAATAAGAATAATAGGTAAATATGCTGCATTGTGTCCGGAAGCTAGCAAAAATTTTCATGATGATTTGATTGGGTAATGGTCATAGGTTTTTGTGTTACACTAAAATATGGATATATCATTTTGTCTCCGGACAATAATAGTTTCAACACTTCTCTCAGTAAATCAGAAGCAAAAATATATTAATTAATCGGTAATTATTATCATTTCTATGAAAAGAAAAAAGGCAAGCCATCTTTTTTCAGAGTTGCTCCGATTGGTTATGAAAATCTTAACCGTAGTAAAATTTCCCAAAGAATTTTTAGTTAGAAAAGCGTTTTACGTCACACGAGAATTTTGATAATTAAATTCAGAATTTAGATAACAATTGATGACAATTGATTTAAGGTTTTGGTTTGTTGAGATACGTTTAGTGTTGCAAAAAAAAACAGCATTTAATCTGCACATACCGATGCATCTTAGAGCTAATTTTTGCATAAAATAATGGAACATCTAAATTTGATAATGATATTCCCCAAATAGATCATCCAAATTTATCAAATGAAATTGCAAATCTTATATATTTGCGTCTACTCAATTTTTTTTCTCAAAATTGTCATGTTTCAAATTCGTTACCTTTTAGATTTTTTAGAATGCCTAAAGAAATATTTGTCGGCAATATACCTTACGAAGCCAACGCAAATAATGTAGTCGACGCATTGGAACCGCACATCAAAGGAAAAATTATTAGATGTGAATTAAATGAGAGCAAACAAGGAGACCCTCGATACATCAATAGTGGCTATGCTTTTGTTACCCTTGAAGACGACGATGCAGATGACCTGATAAGTAAAGGAGATTTTGATGCACCATTTTGCATGAAAAGGCCATTAACTATAAAAGAAACTCAGAATAAGAGAAAAAGGAGACGTTATATTGAAACCTTAACTAACGCTAATGAACCAACATACCCTGTTTCGAGTATTGAACTTGGAAACTGGGCAGGTCAACTACCGATAGCTGAACATAAAAGACGTGGAAAACATCAATTGCCTACGCAAAAATGGACATTCCTATGCGATTGGAAATACCCGGGTTATTATGTTAAACCCACCATGTGCATCTCTAAGGAATCTGATGTAATCATTATAGACGGATTTACCCTATCATCAGATTCACCAGGTTCATCAGATTCATCAGATTTTAAAAATAAAAAACGAATTAAAATACCGATCCGTTGGTTAATAGAATCCCATCGTGGAATCCTTCTTGATGTGCAAGATTGCAAAGATGGGTTCATTTCTTTATATATATCACTTAAATGTTCACCCATACTTTTGCACAAATCTAATAAATTTACACAAATAAGAAAAAACACCAAATTACTTTATTATACTTATGAAGACTATGAATGGGTTAGAACAACTGATTGGACAGGTTGTGCTAACGCTTTTGGAAGGTATTTAGTATACCGCTTGATATTTACTGAAAATCTTGATGATATCAGAAAATTTTTAAATCACATGGCAATCCCTGGTATCCCAACTCGTATTCCTAAATGTATAGTCTCATGTGAGGAAACACCAAAAAATTCAGAGATTTATCTTAAAGAAATATTTGAAGTTTTGCCATTTAGAATTTGTTTTAAATTAGAATCTTTAATATCACATGGAATAGTCACAATATATGAAATTATGGAATATAAAATTGGTGAAAAGTTGATTAATCTTTTTTTGGAAGAAAAGGAGACAATAGCTTGGCATGCTCTGAACCAGATAACAATTCAACACTGGGATCCGGCTGATGATAGATATAATAAACGACCGGTTGAGATCTTTCAAATTGCATTAAACAATTTCAGAGAAAACCATGATGAATGGCATCCGGCTAACCCAAATATTAATTTTAAAGACAATAATCGTTGCGCTTGGATAAATCATGCGACTGTGACACCAGTCAAAATCTATTTTAATGGCCCAGAATACGAATCATCAAATCGTATTCTTCGACAATATCCGGAATACGTTGATAGATTTATTCGCGTTACATTTAAAGAAGAAAATTTCGATCGATTATTTAATGAAGATACAGATATATATGATTTAAGAATTAGTAATATATTAAAAAATGGGTTCATGGGTGCTGGAAGACAGTATGAATTTCTTGCTTTTTCATCTTCACAGTTACGTGAATGCTCATGTTGGTTCGTAGCCACGGATAAGGATTTTGATGCAAATTTGATACGTGAATTGATGGGCGATTTTAGGTAAATGATTAATTAAAACTCTATATATTATAATATGTAATTATATGACTTTTTATTGATAAATATTGTAATTTTAAATTATCATCATAGTGATATTAAAGCTCCTGCATTGTATGCCGCTCGAATGGGTCAATGCTTTACCAGCACAATCGGTACTCTAGAACTAAATGAGGATCAGGTAATAAAAATTTTAGATATTGAACGAAATGGCTTTACATTTAGGTATATAAATTTGCATTTTATCAAGATTTTATCTTTTTCAATTATTAATTTTAATATACTTTAGTGACGGTTGTGGTAATATCTCACCAGGCCTTGCAAAGCTTGCGGCTAAACATTACTGGGGCACACAACAAGATGACGAAATACCATCTGTCTTTCAGTTTAGATTCGGAGGCTATAAGGTATAAAGTAATTTTGAAATAAACTAATTTTTAATACAATTTATCTTTTTTTAAACATTAATATACATATGGACACAATTTTTTTAGGGGGTTGTCTCTGTTAATCCAGATTTACATGGGAACGTTATATGTATACGCCCTAGTCAAGTAAAATTTGAGGCACCAATCTCGATGAATTTAGAAATTGTAAAAGCAGTGAAAAATCCATTACCTGCGCATCTAAATAGACAGATTATTATGTTGTTATCTTCACTTGGAGTTAATGATGATATTTTTATCGAATTGCAAAATAATGCAAGAACAAATATTGATTCTGCGATGCGAGATCCTCTGAAGGCTAGTGAGCTCGTGAAAAGAAATTCGGGAACAGAGGAATGTTCTCATGTTACTCGCACTATCCTTAGTATGATTGAAACGGTTAGTGATTCTATTAAATTTTATTAAATTTAACGTATTTTTTCATATTATTAGTAACACAGAATATATTATTTTTATCCGTTCTGTTTACAGGGGTTAATGGAAGAGAATGAGGAACCTTATTTAAAGGGACTTCTAGAATGCAAGCGGATATTTTCATTAAAAAGCTTAAGATATAAAGCGCGTATTCCAGTCCCACAAGGATACATGTTATTTGGAATTCTTGATGAAACTGGAATTCTTGAACCTGGTAAAGTACTTTATTATTATTCAAAGTCTGATGTAATAAATATAGAAAAATACTGATATGCGTATTCAATATAATTTTTTAAAGACCAAATTTACATTCAGACTTCCACAATAATATCCGAAAATAACACATTTAGTACTAGTACGGTCAACAATAAAATTCAAAGAAAACATAAAGTTTGTTTTTTTTTTCTATTTACTACAACTGTTGAGCGCTGAGGTCTTTAAGAAACTAAATATTCTATTAAATATTACATTAAATATTAATATTATAGGTATTAACTGGTCCTGCAGGTAGTAATTATAGCTAATGGTCTATTTTACATTAATAATAACCGCATTACCATAATATACGTGCAATTCTTTTATGAATGTTATCCGAACAGTAATTGCACGAAATCCAAGTTTACATCCTGGTGATATAAGAATCGTCTGGGCTGTAGATGTTCCGCAACTAAGCCACCTTAAAAATTGTGTTGTTTTCAGTCAAAAAGGAAATCAGCCATTGCCCAATTGTTTGGTTTGTATTATTTATAATCTTTATCATTGCGATTTTATATTTTGTTGAATCATGATCTTATATTTATATTTTTTAACAGAGCGGTGGTGATTTAGGTATGTCACTTTATATATTTCTGTATTTTATATATCATTGTTAATGATTTTTATTATCTTTTCTAAATATCTTATTTTTCTTTATACTTTCTTAATTTTAGATGGAGATGAATTTTTTGTATGTTTCGATGAACGTATCTTTCCAGAAATCGTCGAAGAACCTATGGACTATAGTCCTCCAAAAAGAGAAACTTTGAATAGACCAGTGGAGATTTCGGATATTCGCGAATTCTTTGTAAATTTCATGAAAAACGATCGTATTGGAATAATTGGAAATTTACATCTAGTAATTGCAGATTATCATCCAGAGGGTGTATATCACCGACGATGTTTGAAATTGGCAGAATTGGTAATGGAATTAATTCCTTGACACAGAATTTATTTACAATTAAAACTAATGCTATATTATATTACAGCATTCAAAGGCAGTTGATTTTAACAAGACTGGTGTTCCTGTAACAGAAAAGTTACCAGTAATGGAAGAATATCCAGACTTTATGGAAAATAAGACTAAGATTGAATATAAATCGCAAAAGATTCTAGGCAAATTATATAGAAATATAGAAGTTGATCATCCGAAAGATGACCCATTATTAAATTATACATCAGATTACATTGTTCCAAAAAAAGAATTCCTTGCGCAAGGATATGAAAATTATTTAGAAGAAGCCGAAATATGTAGAGACACATATAACAGTGAAATACGTAGTCTGATGAAAAAATTTAGGGTTAAAACAGAACCTGAAATCATAACAACAAATCTTCTTGGTTTTCGCCGAGTAGACGGAAGAAAAAATCAAGATATTCGTGAATCGATATCAGGAACAATTTCCTATATAATTCATAAACATCGAAAGCATTTTTTGGTAGGATTACAAGATAATATAGATAATATTAATCGAAATAATGACAATGACACTTATCATTTACATATACCAATCACTAACGAAACAAAAGCTAAAGCATCAGCTTGGTATTACGTAACTTATAATGATGATGAATTCCCAGATGCTAGTGATGATAAGAGACTGTTAAGTTTTCCATGGACGGTCGCTGATGTTCTTTTGAAAATAAGAGAAGAATACATGTTACAAAATATTTTAAATTAATATTTAATATATTATCATACTTTTCAGATTACATGATTCTTAGAAATTATTTCTATTATAATAATAAAATAATAAAATTCTAAGATGCATTCTGTTTATAAAACTAGTGTGAATTCTGCATACCATATTTGCGCGTAATAACGCACTTGAATGTTACGTATTTTTTAAATTTTCACTTTTTTTGAAATTTGCTCTAAAATAACGCGCGTCCCTGAATATACAATAAAAATAAATCTCTATATAATTAAATTCGATAAGTCAAGTCAAAACTAATTGTTGAAATAAGAAAGTTTTGTAAAACTTTTATTAATGGCCCATCACCTTTCTTATATCATGATTTACTTGTATTTGTCATGTACGGTATAACTGTATAAAAAATGATTCGAAATATCAAAAATAACGCGCAGATGACACGTTATTACGCGAAAATACGGTACTAGTAGAATTTAAAAACGTTAGAAAAATTAAATACCAAAGAGAATAATTACTTGTAATAAAAGTAAATTTTTTGTTATTGCTAGTTGTAAAAGTTTACTATAACGAGAGTAACTTGCGTTATATATACGTAATTTATTTATAATAACAGGTAGAGAAATCTTTATTAAATATTTTTTATTAATTTTAATAAAAAATTTTTTATAAAAATTCTAAAACTATGTAATATTCAAAAAAAAAAATTTTATTAAATTTGGATAAGTAGTTATTGAGAAAATTATGAAATCTTGCCTGTTATAAGATATTATACTTAAATGTTTTTTAGAGCTTTGAGCAAAGTTTTCTTTTAACAATTATCTAACCAATTTCTATGAAAATTTTTTTAAAATTATATAATTGTAAATTTGAATAAAAATTTTTATAGAAATTTTCATAGAAATTAATTAGGTAATTATCTCAATTAAATTTTTAAAAAAAATTAAGTATAACTTGTTTATTAATAAGATTTTTGGGGGTAAATATTTCTTAATAAGTAATTACTCAATTAATAATTAAAAATATTTTTATATTTTTTTTTATTTCTTTAAACTTAATTATTCTTCTAAAGCTATAGCCTACACTTAATTATATCAATGCTTAATACTTAAATTAGTTTACAAATAGAGAATACTTTTAATGCTTATTTATTTTGATATAAAATAAAAATTTTTAAAACTTTTTGATCAAAGATTTTATTATAAAGTAAAAATTTTCAATAATTGGTCATTTTATTATGTATAAAAATTAAGATGTGTTGCATTTATTTTTTAATTGCCACTAATTGTACTCGACTGAAATTCTTATACGTAAATTATTCGGAAAAATTGCATATCATGCAGCCAAGAAATAAGGGAATTGGTGAAGATAAAGGCTTCACTATTTAATCAAGTATATTTGAATTAAAAAATTCTATACAAAATCTACATCACGCGATGAAAAAATTCTGACCTCGATCAGCTAATTCTCTTTACTCGAAAACTAAGATAAGCATATTATCCCAAGACTTAACCTAAAACAAAATAATCTCAAGAATAACCACATTTATTTTAGTATCAAGTCGGTATGGTCATGTTTTTATGATGTGTCGGGAATTATAATCAAGAAATCGCAAACATGTGATAAATGATGCATCGATTGTAATACATATGTACCCAGATTGAGGACCCTGATTATTTATGAAATATAAACAGAAATAATAACCAAAATTTTCTGGGACCTTAACTCGGGCAACATTTCATCCAATTATGCTAATTAGCGAGTTAAATTAGTGCAGTTTTCATAGTATATATACTAAGAGATACCTTACAAGTCCTGGTATATAAAATACCATTGAGGTTTAAAGATGTTCTAAAATTAATTAATAATTGACATTTTATTCGCGTGATGAATCATGCACGTGATTTATCATTAAATTGCTTACTGTACAGTATACATGGCATTATCATTATGCAAATGTGCTTTTATTTTATATTTAATATATTTGGAACCTTTGACATCATTCGATAGCATCATAAAGGTAAGATACACCATTTTTATGTATTGATCGTGGGACTTTGACGAACGAGTT